GAGAATGTACCAGTGACAGTATGGCTGATCTGGTTAGGTCCTGCGCTGGTGTCGCTGGTGTAGATATGTGGGCAGAGTTGGCACCGAGCTTTGTTGTGGGGATGAGTTCCTGAGTTAGTTACTGTGGTGTGGTGTGGTGTATAGTTGCTGGTAAGAATTTGCTTTAGGTTGGCGGGTTGTCTGTGGGCAAGGACTTGCCTACCTCCCAAAGTCTGTAAGAAAGAGGAATCATTGTCCAGGATGGGTTGTAGATCACTGATGATGCGTTGGAGAGGTTTTAGCTGGGGACTGTAGGTGACGGCCAGTGGTGTTCTGTTGTTTTCTTTGTTGGGCCTGTCTTGTAGCAGGAGGCTGGGTACACGTCCGGCTCTGTCAATCTGGATACACCAGACGTGGGATGCCACCGGGCCAGTGGAGCAAGGGCCAGACCACGGAGAGCAGATCTGGGGTGAGCGCAGGGTAGAGACCCCAAAAGGGACAGTCTATACATGAATGTAAGTGTACAGGAGGAAGGGACCCAACCCAGACCCACACATCCAACCCTCTCAGGTTCAAAGCTAGACCCAAATCAGCTGGGGTGGGGGGCAAACTAGCTGTTACACAAGAGCTCTGCCAACAGGCTGTGCCGCTCCAACCAACCTCCCCGGACGAGCCCCTCAGGAACGGCTCACAGGGAAGTCAAGTCCCAGGCCTGCACGCCCAGCCATGGGTCCCCTCCATGGGGTCCTCCTCTGAGGGGTCCACCGGCCAGGAGAGGGGAACCCCACCTGGGGCTGCTGCTAGAGGTTCAAGACCAGGGGTCTTCTCCCCTTTCATCCTCATTCTGCATTCTGGTAGCACTACCTGAGAAGTCCAGCTGACTGCTCCCTCCAGCCAGCCCCAGCTCAATGCAGGGGTATAAGAATAACCAGTGGTCCAGCTACATCAACAAAGCCATGGAATTCTGGGTGAGCAATAGTATAATTCATGTAAATGAGGCTGGACAGGCTCGCTTTTCTCCACCTCCCCTGCAGAGTCCACCCAGCTCCACCTCTCTAATTCTCTGACCCTAGGGCTCACAGGCAGATGGTTTGAACAAATTTGTTTTCCTCTTGCCTTCTTGAGGAGGCAGGATCTAGAATTTGGCCTGTAGAACTTTTCCTGCCTTTTGGCTCTTCCAAAAGGTCAGGACCTCACCACCTGAACGTAAGGAGAATCTCCATCCGCAGTACAGGGCTCAGGACACACAGCCCGGCAGTTCTGATTTCATCCAGAGGTGCCCTTGCCAGCTGGTTCTAGTGTGTTAGAGACAGGCAGCCACAGGCTGGCATCAGGGAGATACGATTCCCCAACGGTGCAGCGTTCCCTTGGGTCTGGCTCCTTTGCCAGCTCAGCTCTCCTGCCTGGACGCCCCCGTTCCATCGGCTCAGAGTTTGCGGGGTGGACACAACCGGCTCCAGCTCCCTGCCTGAGTCGGGCTCTCAATTGCTGGGGCCTGGGATATTTTCCCTGCCATGGTTCCACGGGACAGTAATCACCTGGCCTGGTCCCTGTCTGTGACCTATGGGTCCGTCCCCCACAAGCCCATTGCACCGAGTGGTGCATTTTACCAGCAGAAGGCACCTTTGATGTACCAAAGAACTTTAAAGAAGGAAAAGCCACTGGGCTCTCCCCAGATCTCTGCCCCCATCCTCCCACGCCTAGGACTTGGGAGAACGGTGACTGTCCCCCAGGAGTAGAACTTAGCCCAACAGTGCCAAAAGCAGCTATTGAAAGCCAACAGCCCCAGGGTGGAGGGTGGGGGCTTTTCCCTGCCTCGAGTTCAGACACAACATAGACTGGAGCACACGCACCTACGCCGCCCTAGGCGCCTCTCTGGGGCGTCTGTGGAATTGCACCCGGCCCCTCTGCAGGGCACATCCCAACCACCTCCCCTCCCAACGGCAACAGGCTAACCGAATTGTCGATGCAATTTGCATCGACTATTCGATGAGTCGATAAGGGCACCTCCGCCTTTGAAGTGTAGCAACAGCCCCAGGCGGAGCACGGGGCCAGCGGAGACTCAGGCAGGGCTGGCCTGAGCCACTTGTGCACCCCGGGCCTCTGGC